GGCGAGCCGCCACCTGCTGCTTCTGCTGCCTGCCTGTATGCTGCTACGTTCTGCCTTCCTTCGACTTCGATCTCACACAAATTCTGCACCAACTCTGAAATGGAAGATGCGTCACTGCATGTCTCCTCTGTTCAGCCTCATCTGAGGATCCGCTGGTTTCTGAACAAACAATGAAGGCTCTTGCATCCTTTTCTTCAAACTTTCTGAAAGAACAACTGCATCTCGTTTGCGTTGCAGTTCCCAACAATTGCAAAGTCTCTCAAACAATTTCTTCTTTGAACCGCTTTGATTCACTCAAAATGCTCACATGCTTCTGCACATGTTGATGGAACCAAATCTGATAGGATACAATATCGACTCAAGCACCCCCATGCATTTCACGGGTCAGGAGGGCAACAGTTGCATGACATGCGGGATATTGTCAGGCTGCGTTGGCCAAACGACGAGTCTTGCAAAACGAAAGAATACGGACAAAGGGACCGCAAGCATGCCAGTGACACCTGTCATGTTAAACATCATGGGCAGGAAAATAGCCGCAGCCGCGGCTAAATCTGACATAAGGTCAAGAATCGTGATCTCAAGTGTAAAGCTTCCGTTGGATACAGGCCTGATATGGATTGCGTCGGATGCACATTGAGTAGGCGACTCTTGACGCGCAGTGGACTTGCAATATTTCAACGGAGAAGAGCCAGCCTGTTTGCTATATGCCAGGTTGCCCAAGTGCATGCCTAGGGGCCTAGTGGCAATGCCCGCAGTATAGTAGCAGAATGTCATTCTTGTGAGTCATCTGTCATCCTAAAACAGCAAGGAATCTGACCTCGGGTGCATGGCATTGAAGGCTGCCGTCTGCAACCCAAATTGCGCAACGAAGAGAAGTTGAAGCCTTGTATAACATCGGCTTGGGGAAACAAAATGACTTGTCAATTTCAAGACTGTCGGTGTGCATGACTTGCAGCCTATGTCAACCATGTGCACGACACAGCAATATGGTTGTTGCATGACGGATGCACTGCACAGCACTGTACTGTACTGCACTGTACACCTTGGAGCCCAAAAAGGTTCAAACTGCCTGTGGCACAGTGACAAAGCATCCAAAGAAGCCCACTTTAATTTCCTCACCCCATTACACTTAGGGTTCCTTCCTTTTGCTATGAGAGCCAATGTCAAGACTGTCAGTGTGCATGACTTGCAGCCTATGTCAACCATGTGCACAACACTGCAACATGGTTAATGTTGCATGACAGCAACCCAGCTTGGAGCACAAAACGGTTCAAACTGCCTGTGGCACAGTGACAAAACATCCAAAGAAGCCCACTTGAATTTCCTCACCCCATTACACTTAGGTTCCTTCCTTTTGCTTTTAGAGTGGAGGCCATGGGCTTCTGTATACTTTGCATCAGCAAAGTTCTCAACACGTAGAGGCGGCCCATACAGCGCAATCCGGTGTGTTGTGGTATGCGCCATTGCAACAGTGGAAAGCTAAGCCAGAATACTTTCTAGGAGAGCTCTTATCAAACATCATCCATTGAAATCGATCATCGTTGGCTCAAGCGCTTGGCAGCTTGGCAGCTGCGCTTGAAGATGAATTGCAATGAGCGGTACGTGTGATGGACCTGATGTTGCCCTTCACCTTCAACTGCTGCTGCCCTGAAGGTTGGATGTTGCTCAGAGCCTAGGCGTTGAACACCAGAATTTGGAATGAGCAGCCACCGTTGACGGCATTGACTCAATGTGTTGTGGTTGTTTGGATGAGGTTGTGCCTGCTTCTCGATACCGACTGACACGAAGTCACTTGATATGCATGGTGCGCATTTGCTTCATGCGATTTCGAAGGTTGCGCAAGTGCATGCCAGTGGCAATGCCCGCAGTGAGAAGCAGAATGTTCATTGTGAGTCTCCAAACACTCCAATCATCTGCCTAAAACAGCAAGACCTCGGGTGCATGGCATCGAAGACTGTCATCTGCAACCCAAATTGCGCAATGAAGAGGCGTTGAAGCAAATTGGAGCTCTATCAAGTAGTCATCTGCAACCCAAGTAGTGTTGGGAGCTCTATCAAATTGGTTGACTTGCAAAGCTTCTTGTCCGGATCTTTCACGTTGATTCACATCGCATCGAAGTAGGCATCCATGGCCTGAGCATGAGGCGCTGACTGCAAATCTCTGTGACCAAAGCGATATAACATGTTGGAAGTTCAATGTGTTGACTTCCTGGTCGAGAGCTTCCCATGACGGGCGGTCATGCGATGTCGAAGGTGGCCGCCCATAAATACTTTCTAGGAGAGCTCCTATCAAACATCATCCAT